TAAAAAGCCCTAACTTAACTAACAAACTACTCAGACATGGTGATTTGAGAAAACATCATGAAAAGAATAGATTGCATAAAAGAAATAAGAAGTAGAAATAAAGGAGTTCAAAATCTGCTCTGAAGGAGTCTGATTTGTCTCTCCAAAAGCTCTTCTACAAATCTCTCTCTAAAGCGCTCAAAAATAATAAGATACAAGATATATGCCAAAAGAATGGCTAAAAAACCTAATATACAAGCTAAAACACGATCTGGGGCCTTTTTGCAAAAACTGGAACTTTTGGGCCAAAACTGCAATTTCTTCCCAATCTTTTAAAAACAGGCCACGACCTCCTTCCTTGGTGGGTGACGAGCGTCACCAGCTTGGTGACGAGCGTCACCATATGGCATACTTTCTTCTTCGAGCTAGGTACTTCGTGGCTTCAACTTAGAATGCTCCAAAAAGTTCCAAAATCTCCAATTATGCTCCAGACATGCTATAACCTGCAAAGACTCTTCTAGGACTCTAAAAATACCAAAAAGACTCAATAAAAAGGACTTATATCATGGTTAAAAACCATAAAAACCATGATATATCAATATTCATTTCTTCTTTTGACGGCACACGTGACTTCATATTTTATCCATTTTTAACTTCATTTTAAACTTCGTGCCACACGTTTTTTTGCTGCCACACGTTTCTTTGCTGCCACACGTTTTTTAAATTCAGTTCTAGTTGGTCTAGTTTTGCTAGTTGTACCGTTTAATGTAACACATAATATGCATAAAATATATATGTCTAAATCTTGAAAAACACAAAGACATGTTTCCACATAACAGACATAACATAAGTTCAAAGGCCTAAGTTACTTAATAACAATCCTTCAGCAAACGTGAACGAGGCTTCCTTCTTGGCTTGGGAATCTTACTCCTCTTCAGCTTCTTAATTAATTTCTTTGCTGCTTGGGCTTGAAGACTAGGTAGTTTGTGAATTTTCACCTTCGTAGGAGTTTGGACTGTATCCACATCGTCTCCACCTAACAAAAATCAACTAAAATCGATAAAATCGATTATATTAAAAATAAATCTCCAATGGTTTGGCCCATTAAGGAAAATAAATCTCCACTTACCAGCTAGAGCCTTCTCCATAGCCTTCTCCACCCACGCTAACACTATCTCCGCAGCTGCACTAGCCTCAGCCACCACAGTCTCCACGGTCCCTGCAGCCTCCGTCATCTGTGCAGTGTCAGCCTCCTCCTTCTCCACAGCAGCCGCAGCCTCAGCCTTCTCCGCCTTCTCCTTCGCTTCAGCTGCGGCTCTCTCCAACTCCTCCTTCTCCGCCTTCTCCTTCTCTTCAGCCGCAGCTCTCTCCGCCGCCTCCTTCTCCGCCTTCTCCTTCTCTTCAGCTGCGGCTCTCTCCGCCTCCTCCTTCTCCGCCTTCTCCTTCTCTTTAGCCGCGGCTCTCTCCGCCTCCTCCTTCTCTGCCTTCTCCTTCTCTTCAGCCGCGGCTCTCTCTGCCATCCCCCTCTCTACAGCCGCAGCAGCCTCCGTCATCTCCTCCTCTTCAGCCGTTTTCTCTGTGACATAAAAAAAACGAGTCAAATAAACTTCAATATTCAAAACAAAAAATTCTCAAAAATTATTTCTTACCAAAATCATTATATCCACCATACTGAAAATCTGGAGGATTTCTTTGCTCTTCCACGAAGCTCTCCACAGCTACCAACCTTGTATCCAAACCTTGAATCTTGTCATTTATTTCCTTGAACCCTTCTTCCATTAATTTCATCATCCTTTTTATTTGCTCGGCTATTGGCTCAATCACAACTGCAGGTTCTTGTTCAGCTGGCTCACTTATTGCCGCACCTTCGTTTTAGACATCTTCTTGGACATTTCCTTTTTCGACAACTCGGGATTGAACATCGGCCATGAAGACATCCTCCCACAGTATCTTCCCTTGTTGGCGGATTATAAACTTGTTCCACCCATCAACAATAGGGTCAGCTACATCTGAATCATCCTTCAGTTCAAAGTCCTGCCACTGTGTCTCTTCCATGGCCCTCTCTATGAGATCTACTTCCTCACCCTCAGCAGTCAAAATACTAGTAATGTCCTGAAGTATAACGGAAAAAAAATTAAACCGATTAAGTATATTGCTGGGAAACTAGTACGACTAGTACGAATACTAGTACGACTACTGTCAAACTAGTACGACTAGTACGAATACTAGGCCAACTACTGTCAAACTAGGCCAACTATTACGAATACTAGGCAAACTACTGTCAAACTAGTACGACTAGTACGAATACTAGGCCAACTACTGTCAAACTAGGCCAACTATTACGAATACTAGGCAAACTACTGTCAAACTAGTATGACTAGTACGAATACTAGGCCAACTACTGTCAAACTATGTCAACTATTACGAATACTAGGCAAACTACTGTCAAACTAGTACGACTAGTACGAATACTCGGCCAACTACTATCAAACTAGTACGACTAGTACGATTACAATTGAACCCAATAACAAAAAGTAAAATACCTTTGTATCTCCAAGATGCTCATTTATTGAACCCAGCGAATATCCAGTTGTGCCAGTCTGCGTGAACTCCCATTTGCACATTCTTTGACAATCATCTTCTGCATTTGTTGCTTTCACCCGAAATTGTGTCTTCAGGGTTGGAATACATTCAAACGCCAAAATCTGCACATATAATTAGACCAGTTAGACTAGTTATACTATTCAGACTAGTTGACGTAGTCATACTATTAATACGAAAAATCTGCAAATTTAATTAAAACAGTCGGACTAGTTGTACTATTCGGACTAATTAAAACAGTAGAAAATACGACTTACTTCCAAAGGGTTGAGGAACCCAGGAAACGTCCAACTCGCTTTCTCTGGGATCGATCCTTTGAAATGGTTCCCCATATGAAAAATCTCTTTGATGTTGTCCTCGAAAGTAAACCGTCCCCACAGGAATGTCTTACACAGCTCGAGATTATCAACCATCCTCAGAACGAAAAGCTCTATGGCTACTCCATGCTTCGATCTCCTTCTTATCACCACCGCCAAGAAGTACAGGACAGCCATCTTTAGCCGATTCCCAGTGTCATTATACCTCATCCCATGAAGTGCTTTTAGCACAACTTCAGCTGTAATTTTTTCGTCTCCAAAATGGTTCTTAGCAAACCTCATGCCACCTAACTTCGGGTAATCGGCTGGGTACTCGTGGCAGTACAGTTCCGAGAGGAGAGCATGCTCTCTGATGGAGTATCTAATGGGCACTCCATTTACCACAAACCAAGCCTGTCTATCCTTCTCCGTTTGAACCGTGCGTAAAAGCAACATCCACAGCCCCATCACCTTTCTCGTTGCATAAGTCTTCATGTGAAACAGGTGCTTGAACTGCGGATGGTTCAGAAACCAACTCTTCTCATCCTCTTCCAACATTGGAAATACATCCTCCTTAAATTTGTGTTGATTTTGGTACTTAGCTTACATCCCTTTCGATATTCGGTGGGATGGAAGAAATATCCGAGAGGCCGCATTGGTTCTTCTACATCATCATCATCATGCTGCAAAAATAAGAAAACCGATTTAGTATACTGCTGTCAAACTAGTACGACTAGTACTGTCAAACTAGTACGACTTGTACGATTACTAGGCCAACTACTGTCAAACTAGTATGACTAGTACGATTACTAGGCCAACTACTGTCAAACTAGGCCAACTATTATGATTACTAGTACGACTAGTACGATTAGTATGACTACAATCTAGTTATTCTATTCGGACTAGTTAACCGTTCTAGTTGAACTACTCACACTAGTCGGACTAGTTGGACCCAACTATACTAGTCATTGTAAAACTTAATTTAGGGTTTACCAGTGGCGGTGGTTGCGACGACGAACCGATTTCTGGTTCTGATATCGGTGGCGGGCCGGTTGCCAGTTGCATCGTCGGAGCCACCGGAGCCGCCGCAGCTGGAGGTGGAGGCGGAGCGGACTTTGATTTCTTCCGCGACTTCTTCTCCTTTCCCCGATGCTTCTCCCTCTTTCTTTTCTTCTTCGCCGATGGATTTTCTTCTTTTCTTTCAGTCACAGGAACCGCCGGAGGCGGAGGTGGAGGTGGAGGCGGAGGTGGAGGCGGAGCAGTAGAAGTTACGTCATTTGATTTGGATTTCTTCAGCGACTTCTTCTTCTGCGGTGCCGCCTGACGCTTCTCAGCCACTGTTTTCTTCTTCGCCGGCGGATTTGAACTCGACGCCAGCGGCGATGAAATTTGATCCGGCGAAGACGTTCTCAATCGAACCCCTCTCCGCGGTGCCATAATCAATAGATTGGAGTAGACGGACGGTGGTTTTTGGATTTGATCGGATTGGATGATTTTTGATCGGTGGTGTTTGAGTTATCAGAGAAGATGAAAAGGGTGTTCGTGGTCGTTCAGAGAAGATGAAAAGAGCAGCAGTTGAATCGAAAAATTAGGAAGTGAAAGTTGTTTTTTGTTTGGGTTTGGGCCGAATTTAGATTTAGGTTTGGGCCGAATCTAAATTTGAGTTTGGACCAAAATCCAATAGCTATTAGTTGGTTGACTTGTAATTTAGAGGATTTCAGATACCCTTCATCGTCATTTCATACATTTTCGTTTAAAATAAAAATGAAAAAAAAACTAAATTTTATAACAGGGCATTTGAGATTTTGTTGCATACCGAGGGACATTTGAGATTAAAGTCCCTTTTATCTCTCATCAATCAGATGGGAGAAGACGACTACTTTGGAAGTACTGCTGTTGTGTCAGGAGATGGGACTGTTTCAACAACTATATGTTTATGAATAATACAAACAAAGAAGGTTTGTATTTCATAAACCTAGAACCGGTTAGCTTCCGAGCAAGAAAGTCGTGAAGTAGCTGATAGAGTAGCTTACTCAGGCAACATGCTTTGCTACGTGTCTAATACAATAGAGATCTTTCCGGTGATCCCAATGCATTTCTCCGGCGGTGCTGACCTTGCCTCTGGCGGGAGGAAATGTTGTTTGTTTGATGCGTATGTAAAGACCAGTTCTTGGTAAGGTCGGAATATTCAAGATTCACAATTGCGAGAACTAACCAGAATTCAAATCAATAATCTGCTTCAATCTCAAGTTTTCTACTTCTTCTAAACATACATATTTATAAAAAAATGACCAATGAAATCACTCACAAGTTTTTACCAAAAAAGGAAAGCTCAATGGAATGGCTCTGTGTTTTAGTTAGTTTAGCCTCTCACAGCTTGAACGGTTGCAATCATGTGAGCCATGACGAGAGCGTATCGAACAGCAGTGTGCTGTGGAGTGTAGCTGTCTCCAAGTCCAAACTCTCCAAAGTTAAGCTCTGTGTTCACAAACTTACCAGGCAACGATCTTTTAAACAGAGCTTCATGCCATATCTCCAAGAACTCCTCCATTACTTTCCTTGACTTCTCCATTGATGATATAGGAAGATACTCCACCTGAATAGATTACAACACACACAGCCTCTAGTTACAACCCACCAAACTTCTAAATGCATCAACATTGTTCAGATGTTCATCACCTATCTTAACATCGTAAATAGCATCAAGAATCACCACCAAATGCGAATAAGAATCAGCACCAAATGCAAATAGCTCCATACCCTTTTAGTGATCGAGCACATTACTAGAATTAAGATTACAAGAAACAAGACAAACTGGATTTCATATTCTACATGCATCAACATTGTTCAAAAATCTATCATCTAGATTTTGGTGGTTCATTACAATACTAGAATCGAGACTACAAGCAACAAGACAATCTGGATTTCATCTTCTAGATGCATAAACACTATTCAATCTTCATAATCTATCTTAACATTGTAAATAGCATCAAGAATCATCACCAAATGCGAATAGCTCCATACCCTTTTGGTGATTGATTACATTGTTAAACTTGAAATAACAAGAAACAGCACAAATCTGGATTTTATCTTCTAAATGCATCAACATTGTTCAAAAGTCTATCATCTATCTTAAAATTGTATATAGCATCAAGATTCATAACCAAATGCGAATAGCTCCATAATTTTTTGGTGATTCATTACAAGAAACAAGACAATCTGGATTTTATCTTCTAAATGCATCAACATTGTTCAAAACCTCATAACCTATTTTAACAACGTAAATAGCATCAAGAATCATCACCAAATGTGAATAGCTCCGTACTCTTTTGATGATTGATAACAATACCAAAACCGAGATAACATTTACAAGCAACAAGAAAATCTGGACTTCATCTTCTAAATGCATCAACACTATCCAATCTTCATAATCTATCTTAACATTGTAAATAGCATCAAAGAATCATCACCAAAAGGGAACCAGAGTACAAGAATCACCAACATTGCTATTCATCTATCTCAATTTTCTCTAAATAGCATCAAGGATCATCATCACTAAAGATAGAAAAGGAAATTATAGCTTCATACCTCCATAACTATTCCTCTAACATTCTCGGAGTGAGTAGGAACAACTTTACCAACTCTCAATCGAAAATCCCCAAGCTGATACTGAAACCCTTCAAAGTAAAGAGCGACCTTCGATTTGTAAGACTGAAGCTTCTCCATTATCAATTGAATCGACGAATCCGATTCCAGAACAATCCTCTGCGACCTGATGATGAAATAGTACTTACTCGGCTGATCCGCTAACGAAATCCCCAGAAAATCACGCGGGAACTCCGCTTGATTCGCCTGGTCTGCTCAAAATTCCCCAAAATCTCAAAAAAAAAAGAAAAAAAAAACGAAGAATCAAAGGAGAAAAAAGCATCGGGAAGAGAAGAAGAAGAAACCTCGTAACATGGGTTTGTAATAGATGAGAGTCGCTTTCCATCTTCCTTCTTTGACGCCATTGATGCTCTCAACGCACTGTGTAGCTTCGTTGAGGATTTGGCTGCTTACAGTTGATCCTTGATTAGGCTGCCAATACAAAACCCTAGAAAACCCCCCCGCCGAGAGGATAACGAAACATGGTTAACGAGTGAGAGAATCCGAAATTGTAGAAGTTAAGATATTGAATGATTCTTCAGTTTTTCTTCTGCAAATCATCTAAAAATTACCATTTGACGGGCATTGTTCTTGAGAAGGAGAAACAAATTGCGGAGGAGCAAGAAAAATTCGAGCACTTTCCAAACAAAATAAAAATGTTTTAAAGCTGAGCATCCGGTTTGTTCGGTTTTCAATTTGTTCGGAAGTCGATTTGTCGGTTCTCAATTTGCAGGGAAGTCGATTTATTCGGTTTGGTTTTGAGGAGGATTAATTTAGATGTAATAACAAGTTAGGAATAAATGGAATAAAATTTTTTTATGTGGAATAAAAAAAATTGAAATGGAATGAAAATTGTATTTCATTCATTTTTAGCTTTGTTAAAGTGGAATGATTTTTTAAAAAAGATTTAATTTTTTTTTCTTGAAATAAGTGGAATAATTTTGCTTTTCTATTCTTTATAATTGGTAATAATTTTGTAGAATTTCATCGAACTTTTCATTCTATATTATTTTATTCATATAATTTACAATCCAGTTATAGCTTGGGTTTTTCAATGAGGAAAGAATATATGATCTAATTGGTAACGGAAAAAAAAATTAGACTGTCAAATGATCTAACCAGAAATTACGGAATAAATTTTTGTGATGCGATCAGTATAATTCAATAATATAATAGTGAAATATAAGTATTAAAAATTAAAAGATCGAAGAAAAACCTCTAAACTATAGTTTCATATAAAAAACCCTTAACTATAAACCTGTTAATGAAAAAACTCATTCGTCTACAATACTGTTAAAATCATAACAGTCAATGTTAAATTAAAACTATGCGTTTTGAATTTAAAAGAATGATATCTGTTTTGCAAAACCTCAAATAATGTTAATAAAAAACCCACTTAAATAAATATAGATAAAGAATAAACTCCTCAACTATCAAATTAATGGAAAACCCCCATTCTGTCTACAATTATATTAAAACCTAAGCTAAGCGATTAACATTAAATCAAATGTATATGATTTAGATCGTAAAAATAACATAGAAAATGTTAAAATTTTGTATAATTAATAAATTATTCTAATTTCTCAAAACTCCAAATAAATTAAGTTATACAAGAAATTTAACATATATGTCTTCTTTAATCAACTTTCTTTCTACACAAAGTATCTCATTATCACATTATATTAAAATTATCTACGTCAATAATCCAATATGTTTGATATAATGTTGAGATACATTTTAATGTTGGTTCACATTAATTTATAGATAAGGGCTTTATTCTCTATTTATCTTTATCACATGGGTTTTTTCATTAAAATTATTTAGAATTTTACAAAACACACATGTAATTTTCTTACAATCCAAAACACACAACTTTGATTTAATATTGACCGTTAAGATATTAACAGTATTGTAGACGGAATAGTTTTTTTTCATTAACAAACATATAGTTGAATGGTTTTTGTATTAAATCTATAGATTAGAGGTTTTTCTTCGGTCTATTTTCAATTGAGGAATTTTTTTTACTAAAATATTTTATATTTCTGTAGAGGATTTTTATGCAAATATTGCGTTTGAAACGCAATTCTGTCATTCTGTAGTATTAATAATCAGAACCATAACCGACTTTCAAGTTGATTGTAACACAAGTTTTAGGAGGAAAGAACGTAAACTTTGGGTTTAATGTATGATGTTGTTTCATCTTTGGGTTCAATTGATTTGCAGTTTCCCATCATCAAATGGAGGTTTTTCTAAGCTTCTGCTCGACCTAATGCATTCTTCAGATTCTCCAAGAATTTGGTCCATAATAGAAGAAAATAATAAACAGAAAAGTGGTAACGCAGCCCAACAACACGAGTACAGATTATAAAGCCCAATATAACCCAACATAAACCCAATGAACACATGTTTTTAGGCACAAAATAACTGTCGATTCCTACCTCAACACTTCCTCCCGGTTCCGATCCAAACCTATACTATTGAGTGTGCTAAATAACATACTTCAACTCAAAATAAATTTAAATTACATATCTAAACTATTAAAAACCGAATAATTAATACTTTGATTCCAAAATCATTAGTCAATCATTATCAAAGTTTGACTTGTCTATTATAGAATCTGATGGCATAGCGGGTTGGAGATGCTCGCTCGTTTTCTTGGATTTTTGAGATTTGCTTCTCTTTGTCTTCTGATAACAGGTTTTACAATAGATGCAACCAGAAGGTTATCAAAACTCAAGCAACACACAGTTGTAGTATAGCAAAATGTATCAATCCATTTATAGAGAGTATGAAGAGCAATAAGAATGTAAGGATCTAGCAAATCTAAGCAAATATGATAAATGATTGGTAAAATCTAGGAAAACTAAATGCAATGATCTAATGCAATGCAAAACAATTTTAAAATCCCTGGAAGAGGGTTAACTACCACGAGGAACAAGCAAAAAATGATAAATGCAAAGCTACTAAAAACTAAAAATCGACCAGTGAATCGACCATAGGATCGAGCAGAATAGATCGATCTAACAAGCAACTTAAACAGAACGACTTTTAATGATCAAGAATGCAAGCTAAATGACAAGCGAATGATTAACAGAGGTTTAAAATGCTAAAAGAGAGGGTTCAGGGTCGAGGATCATATTCAAGGGTATCAAAGATTCAAGCTTTGGTTTGAAAACGTTTTAGATCTATTGTTTCAAGAGGTTTCTCTAAGCCTTGAAAACAAAACAAGAACCATCCATGGCATGTGGTATGGTTCATGTCCTCAATCTCTTCTACAAACCCATGGCGTTTGGTGGAAAAAGAGATCGAATAGCAAGAAAGACAGATTTCAAACAATGACCTAACTAATCCCTTAAACAACCATGGCGTATGAGAAAGGAAGGATTAGCCTCTAGGATCTGGTTTTCCAGGACATCTGAATCCCGTCAAGGTAAGGCAGCCTTTGGTTCATAGAGACCTTTTTCAAGGCTCTCTAGGCTTTAAGATCCCAAGATCCTAGAAGAGAAGGTATGAAGAACAAAGAAAACACAAAGCTTTAAACCCTTTCAACCCTTTTGAATCGCCTCAACCCCAAAAACCCAAGAAGACTACTCGCGACTCATAAATAAAACCGAACAGAATGTAATAAACAGAAAGCTAAGCATGATCAACCAACGATTAAGGGAAAAACTTGCTTAATATTAAAAGATTCAAAGTTCAAAAACTGAAACAGCTTAAAGTCTACAATGGCGAAATCCCCTAAGCAAGAGGAGAACGAAAAAGTAAAAGACAGAATGGAGGATAATGAAAGTGATGGTTGCGGTTTGCCAAAAATTGCTAAACCGCACCCCCCCCCCCCACCCCCCCCCCCCCCCCCCCCCTACTGGGTAGCTGCCAAAACCAGCTGGACGGATAAGGTTAGTCTGAGATCGACTCGGATCACTCGATCTCTGGCTCGATCTTCTCTTGGATCGGATGACTTCGCTTGATCTTTGAGTCGATCCTTTGATGATCGGGTTGGGAACTCGATCTGGCCCTCGATCTGCATGGCATGGCCCACCTCCGTACTCTCGATCGACCTCCTCACTCGATCGCATGCTCGATCTTCCTCTTGAATCGACTGGGGGTCACTCGATCTTCTGGTCGATCTCGTCTAGATCGACCTGCCTTGCCCGATCCGCAACTCGATCTCAGGTCCTTTGCTGAATGGTTGAGTCCTCCAAGTGTCCACAAGCTTCCTCACGAGCCTTAGCACGTCCATGAATCCTCCAAAGCTCCAAAGTGTCCAAAAACAACCTGAATATGATGCATAATGCAAGAAACATGCGATGCAAAAGTGCTATAGGACCTAAAATGGTGCAAACTAACCTATAATGCAAGATGGATGCATGAAAAGCTATCCTAAATGCATGCAAATTATGCAAAATATACAAACTTTCCTTTTGCTTGCCCTCAAGCAAACAAAATTCAAGAAGGAAGAGAGGTTTGGAAGTGGAAGCTCAAAACAAAAGATGTCAATGGAGAAATCAATTCAACGCCCAAGTTATAAGTTCTAAGATGAAAAAGGTTGTTCTACTTTAAAAAATTTAGCCATGCCCATCAAAGCAAGCAATGAACCCTAGCTTAGTCTACACGAGCATTCAAATCAACCAACTCCTTAACATTTATTAAGCATTAACCAGTGGATCAAGTTGTGCACATCAAGCGAAAGCATTTGGTCAAAGGGGTAAGGTCACAAGATGAAGATGATCTCATTTTAAGAAGGGTTTTAAAAATCAGGGGATCACTCAATGAAAGAATCATATCTTTGGCAAAATGCTAAAGGTAAATGCACACCTATGCATGCAAGTTAAAGCTCCCTTCTACCCATTTTACCCAAGATGATCCTAGAAACTTCTGAAACCCAAGATTAACCCCTAAATCTACCCTTTCCCAAAGCGTTTGATCATCTTCACTCTTCACAATGGGGGAAACTTCTCTTGGCTTTGCCGTGTGGTTGACTTCTTCTTTTTAGATCTTGCTCTTCATTGTTGATTGCTTGGCGCCGCTTTCATCACCTTTGGTGGATAGCTTGGTCATATTTTTCCTTTCGGTTGACCTCTTCTTAGCTTTGTTGTTGCTAGCGCCTTTCTTTTCTTTAACACTTAGAGCATTTTATCTATTTTACTATACCACATTTAACTCGTTCCCCCTTTGTTACTAACCCCATGCTTCTTTCTTCTTTTTGAAAACATATAAACATGAAACTCTTAAACCACTCAAACGACCCTTTCCCCAAACTCTTAACCTAATACCAAGCTCAAAATGCAAGCTGGTGCCTACAAGGGAACTTCTCCTTTCCAGCCCTATTCCTAACACTTTTTGCTAAGATAGGATTGAAAATAATGCAATGAAAGGCCTCACCACTCACGTAAAAGTGTTTAGGTTTGAAAGAAGGTTAGGTTTAAGATGTGGTTAACTGACCCATTATGATGAGGATCAGCTACTTGGATTAACAAGAGTGGTAAGAAGGAAGAAGATAATCCAAGTATGTATAAGGGTAAGCCATGCAATCGCTTTCAATGCACAAACAAGATAATTCAATGTCAAGATTAAGGTTCTAATAAGATGGAGTTGGCATCAAATCAAAGCGAGTTTCAACATAAGACTAGAGTATCAATTGCAAGTAATCAAGGTATGGTGCAGCCTTAACTTCAAACTCACTAGATGCAGTCAAACAGCAAACAACTTAGGCATTGAAAACAATTCAGACATTGACAACTTAACAAGTGTTTATCATTTACTCCCTATGCAAATGCAACAACCTAAATGATTTTTAAAAATTCTAGACTCAGCCCTAAAATATTCTACAATGCAAGTGCAACTACATGAATTTTTTGAAAAT